TACAAATTCAAAAAAGAGAAGTCAATAAAATTTAAAATTCAGAAAATACCTCAAACTGAAAAAAAAAATAGTTCAAAAATTGAATACTTTAGCAAAATTTTCAGCTGATTTGAAAAAACATGTTTTACGACAAATTCCTAAAACCTCTGATCTTTATAGCCTAAAACCATCCTTACTGAAGCGCAATGAGAAGCCGGATTAAGCCTTTTGTGTTATATATTGCTTCTTGTATAAAACAAAACATTCTTGTCGTTTAAGCTCAGTTCATCCTGAACTTCCTCCTCTTCTACTTCTTTATTATCACCTTCTCTGTCACTAAGTAAGGATCTGCACTGTTTCGATTACGAAAATTTCAGAGAATATGGTTTTTCAGGCTACGCTCCTAACTGATGATAACATGAACGAACCTTTGGTGAATCCAAGGTAAATGTTGTCAAAACTCTTTCAGGTGAAGAATTTTCATTGAGCTCGATGGACCAATTGTTATTTTTGCTAAACTTTGGCACATGCTCCATACTATCCAGCAGCCATAAATGTACCGTTGCATTATTACGCGATAATAAACCACCGTTGTCCTTAGCACCTACATTAATCTGTAAAAGAAGTAAAAGCTGAATTTGCTTGAAGGTGTAAATAAATTCCGAAAGTTTCAACTAAAATGGTAAACATTGCTGGCAGTTAATTGGCTTGGCTGTCCACCCGATGATTGGCTTGGGGAACCCATGTTAGTGGGATATGTACACATCCTGACGATAAATATGCCCGCTACTTCTATCCTGAGCTTTGGATTTTTGGATATGCACCAGTTATGTTGTATAAGCGCATCGCCTCTGCAGTAGTTTCCCAGTGGCAGTATTTAAAAAAAAAAAAATTTCTGATTATTGAAAAGAATGAGTGAGCAAAAAAAAAACTGGAAACCAAAAAGGTTATTTGAATTCCTTCAAATTCTGAACGATGGAGGAAAAGCATACTAGCGATTGGCACCAACTATCAGAAAGTAAAAGACTACGCGGGAATGTAAACGATCGCTCGGATTGCTCCCACGCTTCGGACAGGCAGTAAGTACTAACTGGGGTATGTAGCCCAGAACGAAAGGACTTGTTACTGATGTATCCAGCCTGTGGGAGAATCCCAGTAACATTACCAACAGAAGATAATCACACTGATGGCCTGGGCGGTTTTGGTATTCTTGGTTTTAATCTTGGCAAAAGAAAATGCAAAAAGCACAAAAGATTAACCTCGATTTTTCGCTGAAAAGAAACCGAATCGGTATGAGCG